TCAATTAAATGGAGGCTTTTCCCCTCCACGATGTCTTGTCTTTCATCAGTGGATGATTTTGACATTTCGTGTCCTGTACTGAACTTGGTTTGTGCACTTCACCTCCAGATCTTAAGCATGAAACAGCCTTTTCTTACAGTTTTAATGAGTTAAAATTGGGATTTCTGGATCTGCTCCCAGGCTGACAAGAGAGGTGAACTTAAAAGGATGAGTTAGCTTTCCATTGGACTTCTCTCACCTCTTGTATGTCTAGAAAGAAGGTTGTATTATATTGCAGATGAAGAAACTAGGACAGGCTCCTACTTGTATTAGCTTGGAAGTGAAGACCAAATCTCCAAGGATTAGAATACTCAGAAGACACAGCAGATATGGCAGAAATAAAAAGGAAATGTTCCTCTACCCAACTCATACCTCAACTATGAAACTGTCACAGGACTGAGAGGTCAAAACTATAAATATGAAAGGAGAAAAAATAAAGATGAGTCAGATGGGTCAGAGTTAATGCTATTAAAAATCCCTGTTTATTAGGACAGCAAAAATACACATTCTGTGGTTTGCAGAAGAGTGAAGGTAAATAAGGACAAAATGATCTGCTCAGTTAAACTGTATACTCCCTTCCCAAATTTTAGTCCTAATTAGAGGCAAAGTCCTTTATTTCTTATTTTGTACTGTTTGCTTCATTTTAAATGATGATCTGTTCCATCCTAAAGCTTCACTGACAAGAAACATATTGCCCCTATTTATCATCTGAAACTCCAGGGACAGTAACTGCATGTGTGATTGCTGGACAATGTGAGCTGGTGGAGATTTCTGGGCTCCCAGGATGGAAAACATCCTAGACACATTCCTGGAATATGCAAACTTTGGATTCAACATGTGCTCTCTTATGCCTGAATGGCTACAGAAATTTCAGGGCAACACAAAATTCGTCCTCTCCAATGCTTTTAACCTTCCAGGAGGTGGCTGATAGCATTCCTCTGCTTTGACACTGGGTTATCCATCAGAAACAGCTGCTTCTCCATGGATCTGAGGCATGGGGTGGCTCAGCTAACAGAGACCTGTGTCAGTCACATGAGTGTTGGGATCTGTGAGGAAAGGCAAAGAATTACTTCACTGTCCTGCATTTTCACAGCTTGGGGTGTAGAAGTGCTGCAACTGCTCTTGAAGTTCCTTCCTCTGCCACGAAAAGCCAAAGGCCAACCCCTCCAGCCCACAGGCCTTTACCACCTGGGAAGGAAAGACCACATTGCAAGGTTTTTCCAGTGTGGGGATGATGGGGAACCCCTCAGGTGCTCCTCACCTGGTGAGGAAACATGGGACTGGACAATCATGTTCTTCTTCCAAAGCCAGGGGCAGGAGATGCAGTTGCACAGCAATCACAGAGATGGCTTGGGGTTATCAAAACAGCTGAAGAACACATGAACAAACACTCCAGCCTTGCCAAGCCAAACTCCCCAGAGCTGTGCTTGGCCAGGCCCTCTCCCAGCTGAACGCCTTCAGCAGGGCCCTGGGTGTCAGCTGGAGGCCAGAGGGGCAGCCAGAGCAGAGCGAGGTGGCCTTGCAGGCTGTGTCCTCACGGGGGCCCTGCCACGGCCTTTCCTCTCTTGTCCTTGGGCTCTTGTTTCTGTTTGTGCCACAGGAGCAGGGGGTTGGGGCTCCTCTGGGACCTCGCTATTCTCCCCTGGCTCTTGCTTTGCCCACTTGTGTGGGATGGCACCAACATCCCCTTTGCTTCACTGTCTTCAATGCCCCAGGACGAAGGTCTCAGTGTCCCAGGATAAGGGTCTCAGTGTCCTGGGATAAGGGTCTCAGTGTCCCAGGATGAGGGTCTAATGCACATTCAGCTGTAACTGTAAGAATCCAAAAGAGAGAAGGAGAAGATTTGTGCTGTTTGGAGAACAAAACCCTCTCTTGACCCGGGCAGGGAGACAGAAATGGTATTTTTTTGTGAGGCTTGACCTTCGAGAGGTTGTACAGGCTCAAAGGCCCAGAGCACTGAACCCTCCCCATCTCCAGACGTGTCCAAACGAACCAAACCATGTTGCCAATTAACGGGGTGTTCAGTTACTCTTAGAAGTGCAAAGCACTGAAAAATTGAAGGAATTTCTTTTTTTTTCCCCTCTTGGCCTGTGATAGAAAACACTTGATCTGTTTACAGAAGTCAGTTTGCGTGTACGTGTCCGCATATGTTATGAGAAGGAATGCAAACGTATGGAAAACAGCCATCCCTCATTTCCAAGCCTGTAATCTCCAGAGTTTCCAGTGATACTGGCTGAGAAGTTGTGTTTGGATGCTTAGCTGGACCAAATGCGTTGGATGGATTATCCTGATGTTTCGTGCCAATGCAAATGAGAGAAACTCCACTGGAACCCACAATGTTCCACCAGAGCAGGGAATGCTCCAGGAGGGAATGAGGCCACTTCCAGCAGGTACATTTTGGATTAGATATCTGAAGTTTCTCAGCATCCAGTGGGTTTGGATTCAGGGCTTTGGTTCAAAAGGAGGTCTCTTGACAAGTGAGTGCTGCGTGTGTTGGTGCATTGCACTCTCTGGGTCAGTGTTTAGTGTATCAAGAGACATGTAAGAAATTATGTTGTCTCCGTCTTACTCCAAGGAGCAGCACTCTGAGGAAACCATGCTGATACCCAAGATTTCCTTTCCACAGAGTAGTGCTGTGATGAAGACAAGTTTCCATCCAGTTTTCACAGAATTACAGGATCAGTTAGGTTGGAAAAGACTTCTGAGATCAAGTCCAACCTTTGAGCAAACACTACCTTGTCCCCCAGCCCAGAGCACTGAGTGCCACGTCCAGTATTTCTTTGAACATCTCCAGAGATGGGGACTCCAACACCTCCCTGGGCAGCCCCTTCCAATGCCTGAACATCCTTTTTCTGAAGAAATTCTTCCTGATGTCCAACCTAAACCTCCCCTGGTGCAGCTTAAGACTGTGTCCTCTCATCCTGTCGTTAGTTGCCTGGGAGAAGAGGCCAACCCCCACCAGGCTATAACCTCCTTCAGGGTGGTTGTAGAGTGTGAGAAGGTCCCCCCTGAGCCTCCTTTACTCCAGGCTGAGCCCCCCCAGCTCCCTCAGCTGCTTCTGGTGCTCCAGATCCTTCCCCAGCTCTGTTCCCTTCCCTGGATCACGCTCCAACCCCTCAATGTCCTTCCTGAGTTGTGGGGCTCACTGCAGCCACTTTCCATCCACTTTTCATCATTTTTCATCATTTTCATCACTTTCATCGTTTCTGTCCTGCCCGAGAATAGGAATTTCAGGCTGGGCAGAGAGATGGATGCTGTACAGACACTCTCCAGCTCTGCTGGTCAGTCCCAGCTCTCGGAGCCATCCCCTCTCCAACTCTCTACTGGGGCCTGTGGGGGCACAGCCACATCTGACCCCAGTCCTGCTGTGCTCCCACCACACTCCTCACGTGTCATTCCAGGCTTCCACATGTGCTCTGTACTTCTGTGCACACAAAGCTGATTCCTAAAGCACGAAGACTCTTTAGCAAGAGTTTCCCCAGGGTGTTGTAGGCCACCAAAAATAAAAGCTCTGTGGCCCAGGAGGAGGCAGAGCTCTACACCCACCACTGCTCTGGGCTGGGACACAAACTGCTCCAGCCCCATCTCTCCTGCCAGAGGCACATGCTCTTCATTAAGGGCCGCATTGCATGACTCGGGCTTTGCAGAGGAAAATAAAACCAGTGAGCTCATCAGAGCAGGAAAAACACGAGTGAGAGGCATTGCTGTAAATATTTATATCTTCAGGACCTTCAATGTGATTGTCATTTTCCCTGTCTGCATTTAAACAGCCCGGCTGTTGTTGTTGGGGGCTGTATCTCTTTCTGAGGGGTGATTTTGGAGCCCACACGTGTCCACCCTGTGCCTGGGCAGCCTCTGCCCCAACAGCCCGTCCTGGAGCTGGGGACACTCTGGCACCTCTGGAGCACAGCCCCTGACACATCTGCCTCGTGGGCTGGTGTGTGCAGGAGGAGCTGCCCGTCCACATGGACGTAAAACCCAGGAACAGATTCCCCCGGGGCACTGCCGTGCCTGGCGGGGCTGGGCGGGCAGGGGCTGTGCTCTGGGGTCCCGTGGGAGGGAGAGGGGCCTGACGTGCCTGTGTGCAACTGTTCCCGCTGGAAGGGCCTCTGTTGCTCTTGGATGGAGGGCTCTGGGAACAGCCAACTGCCTGCAGAGCCCTGGATGCAAACTTTCTGCATGAAATAATAACCTCACGCCCACATCAACTGAAATGGTTTCTATGGAGAATATCCTGGACCAGTCCACAACCTCATCCTGCTTCTCTATTAGAAACCCTTGGAGAGCCTCAAATATATATATATATTTATATTTTTTAAAGCTTACGACAGTGATTTTATTAACCTGATAATGTGAAAAGCATGAATGTGAAGAGCATGAGGTGGCACAGCCTTCTGGAATGAAGAAGAAAGAATGGCCTGGGAGACAGGCTGAGGGTTTTCACTACTTTGCAGTGTCTCCAGGGCATTTTACTTCATCTTGGTTTCACTTTCCAGCCTCTGTTCAGACTGTAAATTATTTGAGGCAGGATTTGTACACGTGTGCACAGTCCAGTAGAAGGAGATGTTGATTTTAGTGTGGTTGTTCAGGTGAAACATCAACTGTTGTGTGTTGCTTAGAGCCACCACTGACTGTGGCAACTACTGGGATTAGGAGGCTGGAGGATCAAGGATGTAAGGCTCTGAATTTGCTGTTACCTCACTGAAGGAGCGAGGTGAGTCTGGAGCTGTAACCAGGAATGTCTCCATAGCAGGGCTTTGGGACACCTCCTGCCTCCCCTTCTTCTCTCAGTGATAGTGACTCCAGGAGCACCTCAGCCACCCTGTGATCACACACACACTTCACAGATGTTCCCAGCAGCATATCCTGTGGTTTCCTCCTTTGCATTTCTTGGTGACATTTGAATTGTGCTAAAGAACAAAGTATAAATTCACTATTCTGTTTCTTTTTGATCTTTGTAGATCATCAAAGAGCCTCCCCCACCTCCGGCAGAAGACAGTGAGGTGAGTAACTCTGCCACCTGATCTGCTCAGTGTTTGGGACAAGGTTTGTTCAGGGTCCCCACAAAAGGTAGATCTGTGTGTGCAGGACCTCCCCTGAGCAGGCAGTGGAGGAGGACAGGGGCAGACAACACCTCACTGGAACAGCACCACAGAGTCGGGCTGTGACTCACAGAAGGGACAACCCTTAAGCCTGTGTTTAACTTTGAAGTTAATGGAACCTAAACATGTGTTTAACTGCCTTCCTGGAATGGCACAGTAATGATTTTGGTGGTTTAGGATATATAACCACTCCTGGCAGCTGATCCCTTGGGCCACAGTTGCTGTGAGTGAAGGCAGCTCGTGGTCCTTGCAATGTGTCTGAAGACAGTGGAGCAGATTCTGAGCACATGTAAAACCCCACTAAAATCATCTTGATGGCAGAAGAGCTGCACCAGCCAGGGAAGTTTTAATGGAGAATAATCAACAAATGGTAAATCAATATTAAAAATTCCATCTTAATTCTGCCTACGACTTCCAGACGAATCCAGGCAAGAATGGTTAAAGCTGTGTCACCATTACTTAATCAGCAGACCGTGCCCAGAAACATGCCCAGTTTTCCATCTGCTCTTTCTCTGTCCTCCTGCTTCCAGCACACAATGAGTCTCTGCTTTGCTCCTGCTGTTCTCCACATGGGATCTCACTGCAGTCCCTGGGCTCTGTGCAGGGAGCACTCGTGGCCATGGGAGTTTTTCCATTGACTTCACTGGGGTTTGGATCAGTTCCTCTTAGCTATGCAAGTAAAACTGGCCTTAGATCTGTGCTCAGAGTGATTTGGTTGGTTGGTTTGCCTCGTTCTCTGCATCTGGAGACAAATCCATTGCCTGCTTCAGGTTGTGAGTGGAAAAGCTTCTGAAATGGTGCCCTCTGCTCTCCATGCAGTCTGGCCCAGGGAGTGTGGTCTGAGCCAAGGCACACAGACACCCTGAAAGCTCAGTCCTCCGCAGGTCTGTGGGGCTGGAATCCTTCTCCCTGCACTGGGCACAGAGGAATCATTCAGGGCAGCACTGGAACCTCCACCTTGGTGGCACTTGTCCCCTTCAAAACAGGCCTGAAGTAAAATTTTAAATCAGACCATTTGTGAAGCCAAGGGGGATTTGCATTTGGCCCCAGTGCTCCCCATGCCTCCCTCTGCAGGCATCTGGCCTGTTCTCCTGAGCAGACATTTGTTTGGGCTGTATGAAAATCCACCAGCTTTGTCAGCTTCTGTCCTCTGAATGAACAGGGAAGTATTAACCTAAAATTGCACATGGCTTTGTTCTGCATCACACATGCCTCCAAGCCAAGGGATTCAGTTGCTGAAATTAATTAAAATACATCATTCTGGAATGCTGGCTCCCTGGCCAAGGAGTGGAAGGGGAAGTTACATCCCTGTGCTCAGAGGGAAGTCGTGCGTCACCTCAAGGAAGCCTTTTGTCAAAGCAGCAAGTGCTGCAAATGAGAGCAGTTGCTGCAGAATAAACTCATTGCAGCAGAGAGCTTTAAATTCAACTTGTCCAGGCTTTGGTTGTGCCCAGAGAGAGCACTGCCCAGTACCTGAAACACGGCATTAACTAGGACCTGTATTTTACCTGCTGCCTCTTTAATGCAAGAGGGGATCTGTACATTCTTTTGGCTGTTCTGCTCTCTGTTTGGGCACTTTGGGATGGCAGGTTTTGGTTACAACAACCTTGGAATATTTGGATTGGAAGGGACCCTAAAGATAATCTCATTCCAACCTGCCATGGGCAGGGACACCTTCCACTAGCCCAGGTTGCTCCAAGCCTGCCCAACCTGGCCTTGGACACTTCCAGGGCTGGGCCATCCATCCATCCAATGTGCCAACATTGTAGGGGCTGCTCTGATGGTGGAATTTCAGCTGTACTTCCCACCAGAGCACATCCCCCAACTCGGGGGGATTATCCTCAAGCCCATCGAACACATTTAGCAGCCAAAGGATTCTTCCAAAGGAAGATGTAGTTCATCCCATTTTAGAAGCTCTTTAGCATCAGAGCAGTGCTCAGAAATCAGTAAGGCTTGAAGCTGGGACTTGTACTGTGTGTTTTTGCCAGACAGAAGAGCTTCCCACTAGTGGAAAAATAGCAGGAGCTCTGAAAAGATGCATTATGTTGGTCCTCTTGGAGACACTGGTCCACAGAATGGGACTGGCAGTCGTGTGATGCTTTCACAGAAGGTTGGAGGCTCCAGATTTTCTACTTTGCTCAAAACAAATGGAAGATGGAGTTGGTTTTCTACAATCCAGTTTTCCTCAGGTGATGCAGATGTCCTCTCCCCCTGCAGGGAACCAGCAACTGCTCCTCTCCAGCGTGAGAGGGCTAATCCCTCCAGCAGCAGGGTTACAGGTCCATTGCTTTTCTTCTCCCAAAAGTCTTGGCCAAACAAAAACACAAGAGGAATTCTTGCATCTGCAGATTTGTTAGCTGAGGCCCACAGGAGGCAAGGAGAATGCATTATCCTGTGACAATGAGGGGAAAGTCCTGCTGCTGTCAGACCAGCCAAGGTTTTACTGAACTCCCTTTTAAAGGCCTTTGGAGACATATTGGAGACACGCTTGCTGTTGGTGAAGGAAATCATTATTGGCTACAAACTTCCAATTAATTCATTCAGAAATTGCAAATGTCATCAGCTCACCCCTGAGCTGCTCAGACAGCACGGGATGCTGAGGAGGTGGGGCCCAGAGCAGGACAGATGGTTTCACTTACAGCCAGGAAGGATTGAGTTAATGCCAAGCGGAAGAGGGGAATGGCTGAGGAGCCAGAGAGCACCTTTCTGGCCTGGGATTAGTCACTGAAGGTGGATCAAAACCACATTCTTCTACTTCCAGTGAATAGGAAGGGTTTTTCTAGCCCTGATGGAGGAAGACACAGCTGCTTTTATTCATGTGTCCCATCACCTTTAGGCTGAGCTTATTGGAACAACTCTTGCTCAGCTCAGCCCAGAAGTTTACCACGGGGCTGAAGCTGTTTCTACTACAGCAACACATCTTCTGCATCAAAAAATCCCAACTTACAGATCTCTGCAGCTTCCAGCAGTTCCCTATTCACTACCTGGCCCACAGAAGGATAGACTGACTGCAGGCAGTGCATAAACTGGAGCCCTCCCAAGCATCCCCAGGAGACACCCACTGTCCTCACTGCTGCCCTGCCCTGTGAACAGAGGCTAAACCACATTGCTGGGCCTGTCCTGTCAGCACTGGTTCCCACAGCAGGGATCAGGGACACAAAGCTCCCTGGCAAAGCCAGGCAGGGTGTCCAGGTGACCAGAACTTCCCTTTCCTCACCTTCTCAGACTCGTTTTTTCCGTGTGCTCTGTCACCAAAGCTCCACAGTGCCCCGGAGTGTGGCACTAGAGCCAAGCCACCAACCAGCCTGTAATTGGATAATTCTTATGTCTGTTGTCCTCTTACCCACATACAGCAGAGCAAACACACACAAGAAAGTCCTGGAGAGACAGGGCCGTTGTCACTGTGCTGGGAGGCAGCTTGGGAAGGAGGGATTTAACTCACTGTTGTTCAGCCAAGGGATGAGATCCCCTGTTCAGCTCAATCCACTTTGATTGCTGTGAACTAATTTCTCCCACAACATTCGTGAGGCCAGAGAATGACTAAAAGAGATTCATCTACCTGGGGAGCTGCTTGAACCCTCACTTATTATCATGGAATCATGGAATGGTTTGGTTGGAAGGGACCTTAAAGACCGTCTCACTCCACCCTCTGCCCATGGGCAGGAGCACCTTCCACTAGACCAGATTGCTCAATTATTGCTGTTCATTATTCTTTTCTAAACTGTTTTCCTCTCTTTTCCTGGAAAGCCTTGCTGGGGGGGTAGCAAAGCAAGCTCCAGAGAAAGGATCTGTTAGGAATTTTTTTTTGTAGGCATCAAGGCAGGAAATTTATTCTGCTGTTCCTGAAACAAAGCCAGGCCCCAGTGGTGTGCCAGTGCTTTTCCTTCCCTGTACTCCCCTTTTACAGTGAGTTATGGAAATATGGGTGGAGGAGAAAAAGAACCTTTCAAGAGACAGGCATTTAAAAGAAAAAAATGGGGGTGCTATTGGCAGCAGCTGAGATGCAGGTATTGCACCATGATGGTGTGGAGTTTTATGGCCAAATTTCAGGTTAAATATCCAGGCAGGCCCAGCACAGTGCCCAGGCTGTGGAAGTTGGGATAAGTCACATCACAGTGCAATGGGAGCACTGGTGGTAATTCCCTTCACCTTATCAGACCTTATTTCATCCTCCTCTAGCTCAGGGTCTGAGCTCTGGAGTGGGAACAGCTCAACATCCTTCCTTCCTCAAAACAGGGCTTCCTCTGGTCTGTGCACACACTGTGCATGTGGAGAACATCACTTCAGGCAGGACCTCTGAGGATCTGTGCACAGACAAACGGGCAGTTTCTGTGCTCAGCAAGGCCAGCAAAGGTGCTTTGCTCAACATTTGTGTCCCGAGGATGAGCTGATATCAAGTTGAAGTTGGGGTTGTTCAGGCTGGAGAAAAGAAAGCTCTGGGGAGACCTCAGAGGCTCTTCCAGGGCCTAAAAGGGCTCCAAGAGCTGGGGAGGGACTTTGGACAAGGGTTGGAGTGCCAGGACAAGGGGGAATGGCTTCTCACTGCCAGAGGCAGGGTTACATGGGATACTGGGAGGAAATTTTTCCCCATGAGGGTGGTGAGGCCCTGGCACAGGTTGCACAGAGAAGCTGTGGCTGTTCCATCCCTGGAAGTGTCCAAGACCAGGTTGGACGGGGCTTGGAGCAACCTGGGCTAGTGGAAGGTGTCCCTGCCCATGGCAGGGGGTGGGACTGGATGGGCTTTAAGGTCCCTCCCAACCCAAACCATTCTGGGATTGTGTTTGTGAGTGTTTTGGTGCCTCATGGGGTCTTTCTTCAGCTGCTCCTTGGCAGAGCACCAGGAGAATGTTTCCTCTGAGATGATCTGGGACCCGTGAGCACTCTCTGACAGAGGTTTGGGCCAATGACAGGCAAAGAGACAAGAGAACCCAAAGTGATGAGTTTATGCAGCTGCAATTCAGATGCCTGGCAGGGGATAATGTACCAAGTAAAACCTTCCAGAGCAGGAGGAAAAGTTCCCTGAGAACAGAGCGAGGTGTCCTCAAAGTGTAACAAAGCCTCTGCAGTTGAGAGGTGGCCATGGGATTTGGAAATGAGTCCAGCACTGGGAGAAGGAGGCAGAAAGGAGCCTTGAGGACAATGGATTCACCTCCTTGTTCTCTCAGCTGTAAAATTCAATGATAGCATCTCTTATTCAGAGGAATGATTGTCCTGTCGTGTCTCAGCCCTTGGTGCAGGCAGAGCTCTCTATAAGTGCTGAATTCTGACAAAATTCAGGCAGTGCAGAGACAACTGGGAAAATAATTATAAGGGTGGGGAGAGGGGTAAGTTGTCCAAGCGGGGTTTTTTTTATACCTAGCCAAATTTAGTTTGAATTCTTACCCTGAATGGTTCAGATGTCCCTTGTGGAGCCTGAATTATCCTTGTGTTACCCACAGATGAGGTTCCCTCAGGTCAGGGTCAGAGTATCCAGAGCCTGGCCTGGCCTCTGAGATAAACAGAGATCTTTGTTTTCTGCAGTCCAGCAGTGATGAATCTGGATCTCTGACTGTGAAATGCAGCTCTGTCCTGTTCCTTCTGATTTTGTAAGAGAAACTCTAGCTCCATCTAAAGCAGATTTTGGGGGTGGAAAGTTGCCGAGTTCTGTACAGTCAGTTTCCAGCATCCTTAAATGCACTTGGATTTTCCAGGGCTGTTTTTTGTGCTGCAGCTGGGTCAGAGCTGGAGCTGCTGCTGCAGTTCTGCCTCAGGTGCAAACCCTGTGTAACCACAGGTAGAAAAACGCAGGTGAACCAGAGCCGGGAAGGGAGAATTCAGCCCTGGTCAGCCCTTGGGAACAGGGCACTGGGCTGGGGTGCTGGGCAGGGGGATCGTCTCCCTCCTGCTCCCCATTTCTCTGCTCTTCCCTCCCCTGACCCCCGTTTCCAGTTGCTTTCCTTCAGCTCCTCACACACTGACCAAGTGCTGCACTGCTGGGGTGCGTTGTTTGGGGTTTTTTTTTGCTTGTATTGCAAAACCTCCCATGCCCTTGCAAACACGTAAACAGACTCATTCTGCAGAAAACTTGTGACTCCTTTGTTTTTCGAGTGGCCGCTGATGTCTCTCTGTGCCTCACTCTGTTCTGGCTCCTCTCTCACACTGAAGGGACTTGCAAGGCTTTTAAGGGCTTGTGGGGAAGATTTCCTAAACTCTGGTATTTCCTGTTGTGAGAAGTCCAGTCTGTGCTAAACTGAAGAGAGAGAAAGAGAATTGCTGAAGGAAAATATTTAGATGGCTTTGCTTCAATTATTTTTTTTTTTTAAAAGTCCTCCTGGAAAACTTCATGTAGAGATATTAAGTTCTTGGGTTGCAGCAAAGAGCCTCAGCAGCTCTGCCCAGAGTGAGAGAAAGAGATCAGCTACACAGAGTGAAGACCTTCACTCTTCCTTTAGATCAGGACAAATTTTGCAGCCCAATTTATGTGTACTTTGATAAACAGAAATGCTTCTGCTTACCATCAAAAGCGCAGTTTGTCTTGGATTTTTTTCCCCCCAGTTTTTCAGTTTTCCTGCTGGGGAGTTTCAATTTCAAAGTATTTTTGGCTTTTCCCGTCTTGGAAAGCTCCTAAGTTTTGGAGTTTTGCCAAATCCCTGTGAAAAATTTAAAAAAGGAGAAGAAAAAAGAGAGAGGGACCATTTTTCTTTTCTCTCCACATTTTTCACAGGAAATACTTCACGTTTTTGATGAACTCTGCTTTTCCAGTTCACAGCTTTGCCAGTTCACAGCCTGAGCTGTAGAAATTAAAGGGAAAGGCACTATCAGAGCTCCACTTACACTCTGCCCTATATATAGTGCAACAGAGAATACAGAGTATTAAGTACACTCACTAAAGCTTTAGCAGACTCTTTTTAAATAAACTTAAGGAGGTTTTCTGGAGCTGTTAATTTGCCCATATCCGAATGTCATCACAAGACCGGGGTGCTGAGCAGGTGGGGGAGGTGCCTGCAGTGTGTAAGGGCAGAACACAGAATTTCAACCTCATGTTGTCACACAGGGCCTGACTTTCTTTTGGCATAAGCCACAGGACTCCCTGAGGCCACATGGACTTCTATGGGCAGCCTCCCCAGCTGAGGCACAAGTTCACTATAGGAGCTAATTCCATTCTTGTGACTTTTCCATCCCATTACTCTTGGCCACCTCATCCCAATAAACCTCATCTCCATGCTGGGCATTCCTGCTGGGGTTGTTCCCAAAGGTACCCCTAGTCTGCCATCACTCAGGAGCAAATGGCCTTGCTGTCTTGGTCTTTCCCCCAACTCTGTCAGCTCTCAACTCCAAAATGATGATTTCTCTGGGCCCTGGAGGGTTCCTGCAGCACAGGGAGCCCCGAGCAGCAGCAGGTGGGCCTCCCCTCTCACAGGCAGAAATGATGGCAGAGGTGAGTCCCTGCACATCACCCAGCCCTGCAGCCACAACACCCCAGCTCCTGAGCTCTGCTGACTGTTAATTTGGTGGCTTTTTCAATGATTTTGCAACTTGGAAACAATTTACTTCCATGAATTTAAACATGATGAAAGACAGTCTCCTGAAAAAACAACACAAAAAGACAAAAATCTCGTTCTTGCTGGAGCTGGCCTGTACCTTTCAAGTGGTGGTGGTGTTTATATCATGAAACATTTTCTTTTCATGAGTGTACATCCTCTGGAAAATTAAGAGGGCGAGACTAGAACCTTGCCTGCCCTGGCTCCAGCAGGCTCAACACAGCCTGGGACTGTTTATTCCTTTCCATCCATGGTCATTCTTCCTCACAATGCCATCCCTTCCCTCTGTTTTGTAGGAAGAAGATGATGATGGCCTTCCAAAGAAGAAATGGCCAACAGTAGATGCCTCTTACTATGGTGGACGAGGAGTTGGAGGCATCAAACGAATGGAGGTAATTAAATCCCAGGGCATGAACCAGAACTGAGCTGTGATTCCCCCTGCAATTTACCCAGGAAGAAACTCAGGGGATAAGCACAAACTTCTTTAAGCTTTTTTGGTACCTCTGAGCCCAAGTTGGTTTTTGTATAGGAATATCTGAGAGCCAACCATAGATTCCTGAAGTATGGGATCATCTTTTTCCTGCACTAAAGAAAGATCCTCCTCCATCCCTGGGACACTGGGGCAGTGTTGCCATACACAGTACAGGGCGATGGGTTTAGTTTCTCTGAAAACCTTCCCCACTCTCACATTCCTGATCAATCACAATGAAGGAGGAGTTCACAGTTTGGGGTGTAGTCCAGAAACAAGCTGCAGAGTCTGTGCATTGCTGTTCCCCTGGCTCTGGACCCTGGGAAGTGCAGAGCAGGACCTGGCCATCCCAGCAGGGAGGTGACTGTGCAGCAGGTCCTGCTCTAACCTGTGCTGGCCCCCGTTCCAGGTGCGCTGGGGAGAAAAGGGCTCCACGGAGGAAGGGGCCAAGCTGGAGAAGGCCAAGAACGCGCGGGTGAAGATGCCGGAGCAGGAGTACGAGTTCCCCGAGCCCCGCAGCCTGGCCAGCAGCATGCGCAGACCCTCCTCCCCACGCAGGTGGTACTCGCCCATCAAGGTACGTCCAGCCCGGGGCTGTGCTGCTGGGGGCTTCCAGGAGATCCCTGCTGAGGGGGTCACACCCAGGGCCAGGATCACAAACCTGAGACCTCCAGGTGCTGCTGGAGGAGCTGTGCCCGAGAGAGTCACCTGATGTGCTGTGGAAAGGAGCCACGTGGGGCAGTGGGGATTTCCCACCTGGATGAGCAGGTTTTGGGATTGCTTTGCTTTCTTAGGCCAGAACAGGACCCTGGTCTCCTCCGGTGTTGTAGCAGCTTCTGGGAAGTGCTTTCAGACTCAACTGCACTCCCAGGGGTCCACACTGCACATTCCCTGAGATGTAGGGAATCGATAGCATCTTCTTCAGAGATGATTAAGGAACTGTCCTCTAATGAGGACAGACTGCAGGAGCTGGGCCTAGTTAGTCTGGAGAAGAGAAGAGAAGACTGAGAGGGGATCTCATTAGTGCATATAAATATCTCAAAAGGGTGTCAAGAGGATGGTGTCAGACTTTTCAGTGGTGCCCAGTGACAAGACGAGGAGCAATGGCCGTAAACTAAACAACAAGAAATTCCATCCCAACATGAGGAAGAACTTTCCTCCGAGCTTTCCTCAGAGGTGGCAGAGCCCTGGAACAGCTGCCCAGGGAGGAGTTTGGAGTCTCCTCTCTGGAGACATTCCAAACCCACCTGGATGTGTTCCTGTGTCACCTGCTCCAGGTGACCCTGCCTGGGCAGGGAAGGTGGACTGGATGATCTCCAGAGGTCTCTTCCAACCCCAATAATTCCATGATTCTGTAATCCTTTCCTTAGAAAGAGGGGGGAAAATAGGAAGCAAATTGCTGAATGTCCCCAGTGAGGGCTGTCCTCAGCAGACCAAGGGCTGCAGCCCAGCAGATGGGTGTGTGCCAGCAGACAGGGCTCACAGGGCAGCACACTTGCCTCAGGACAAGGACTGGGATGAATTAGAGCCTCGGAGGGGGAAGGTCCAATTCCCCCCAGTGCCAGGTCACATCAGTGCAAACCTGCCCAGCAGGGACCCCAGGAATGGGGGGACTCTTCTTCCCTGCCATCTGTCCCCAGGACAGGCAGCTGTTCCCCAGCTTGTCCTCCCTGACACAAATGGTTGGCAGTGAACAGAACAGAGCAACTGAGAGCTGAGCTGGAGCAGAGCTTTTCCCTGCACGTGGGAATGCTGCTTGGGGGGAACAAACCACACAAACAGGTATTAACTGCACCATCCAGGAGTGCTGTGGGGGCACCGCAACATCAAAGAGCTGATGTCTTGCATCCAGGGCTAATTCATCTGTCCTCAGGAAAGGAGAGCAGCTTAACAACTGTGTGACTGCTCTAATGAAAAGGGGAAAATAATCTCAGGTTTATCTCTTGGGAAATGCTGATGCCCTTCTCGTCTCTTCAGTCTGGGGTTTTTGGAGCAGCACTGTAGTTATCAGGCTCAGAAAAGACTGAAAACACCCAATTCATATCCAAGTGCAAACCTTGCACCACAAGAACTTGGGTTTGAAGAGCTGAAATGCTCATTTAGGGTCTTAGAAACCCTCTATGGGCCATTTACCTGCAAAGGGGGCATGTGTAACACACATAAGGAACATTGCAGTGCATAGAGCTCACCTTAAACTTGATTAGAAAACTTAAGGCAGTGAGATGTTCTACCCTGCAGTACACCTGGGGTTCCCTGCTTTGGATCCTGTTCCTGTTCAGCTCCAGGCAGTGCCCACAGGAATCTGGGCAAGTCACATGTTTTGGCTTTCCTTGGCCATTGATCTTGCAGCTGGTTCAGATCCAGTGGTGGGAATGGCCAGGATGCACAGGGGAGTCATCTGAGAGCAGAGCCTTGCAGTTGTGTTGTAATGACTTCACCGTGTGTCCATGAAGGTTGTTCATCCCACACTGGGACAGGTTGGAGTCAATCCTGTGGGCTCAGGGGGGAAGTGGAGCACACCCAGTCCCACAGAGCTGCTCCTTTGTTCCTCAGTGCACTGCTTTGTCCTTTTGCATCAGTGCATTTGTAAAACACACCAGCTCCATCTGGGAGATTGCCCCGTGTGCTCCTGGAAGTGACCTCACTCAGCAGACAGACACAGTGGGGCTGGTTTTTGCCACTGAGCTGACAAGCACTGATTTAACTCCAAGAGCCCTGAATTCTGCTCAGGAACATGTGGACACAACTTCCTGAGATAACCCACTGAGAGCTGGGGCCTTTCCCACACGAGGTGCTGCTGAGTTTCTCCCCTTTCCCAGTTCAAGCTGTTGAATTAGAGGAGACCTTCAGTGATTTTTCAGGGTTTATTCTGCGTGGTGGGAAATCAGTTCTGAAAAGAGGAGTCAGATTTGTTGCAGATTTGTGTCCCAGCTGGAAGTTCTCCAAAGTTCAAGAGAGTCTTGGAGGAAAGATTCAATGTATGTAGGGCTCAGGTTCAGTTCTGACTCTGGAACAGCTTTTGCTTCATAACAACAAGGATTCAGTTATAAGGGGGCCTGCAAGTATTAAGAGTATCTCATGGGTGATATATATTCTTAATTCCTTTAGAAATATCTCTCTTATCTACCATTCCAAGTGCATACAGGAAAAGGGCAGTTCCAATCCAAGGCCTGATATCCAAACACTCCCAAAACTTTGGGGTGTTCCACATCTGGACAGTATGTAGTATTAGTATTTAGCCTGGACAAGAATTTACCTAATAATTAATTGGCACCACTCCCCTGATTGAGCCACACCCAAAAGGCCAGTGTATGGAGACAGGATAACTGCATCCAGCACTTTCTCCACGTACAATCATGAGCACTCATCAAAACCAGGAAGAACCAGGAATTCCTATGGAGCAGGATCCTGCTGTAGTACAGGGAATTGGCAAAACTGGCCAAATTGCTCAGCGCTGTTGGCAGAAGCTCTTGTCCTGGGAGTACCTGGAGGTGAATTTGGCATTACTCAGGGAAGCTCTCACAGAGCCATGTCAGGGGAGGTGAGGAGAGAGAACCTGGGAGCTCCTCAGGGCTGGACCTCCCCAGGGCAGCACTGCTGGGGTGGATCCATCCTTCTCTGCTTCGTCCAGTCTGGGTTTAAAGTAACACAGAGGCTTCCATCACTTCTGGGGGGGAATATTCACAGACTCCCAGACCTCACCCACAGGAAATGGTTCCTGATACTCAGCCTGAATGTTCCTTCATCCCCCTGATCCAAGTGCACTTGGCTCCTCTGGTTAGGAGATGTTGAATTTCCACCCCCTCCACCAGGCTAGTGGAAAAACCTCTTTGGGAGTGAGATAAATATGCATGTAACAAGCTGCTTAAAAAATCCTTGGTAAAGGAGAAGGGCGATGAATTAAACCTCAGGACAGCAAAACAAGGTCTCTTGAGTCTGACACAGAGCCAGGAAATTCACATTTTAGGGTCAGTCATCTTGCTGGCCACAGGCTTCCTCTTCTCCATGCTACACAAGTACCAGCCTGTACTTGGAGTGTTCAGCCCTTTAGAGTTTATGTGATGGAGTTCTTCTTCCCTCTCTTTTTTAATCTTCCCAGAGTCATGTCTATAAACAGGTAGACAGCTGAGAGTGGATTAGATTCCCTTTTGAAATGCTCCAGAGATTTATTTGCTACCAAATGTGGCTACTGATACTTAAGGGACTGTGGTTATTGTTATTGCTATCCTGATTTGCTGCTGTGACTCCTTAGCATGGTGCCAGCTGGATTATCCCGCTTTTAAAATGTCATTTCAGCTGTTTGAAAAGTCAGTGCAGATAATCCAAGGAGAATGACAAATCTAAAAACTTCTTAAGCAACTCACCAAATCCCCAGTTCATCTGACAGGGAGGGACAGCACAAAACGTGGATGGAAGTGAATCAGAGAATCAGGGAATTGGTGAGGTTGGAAAAGACCTCTAAGGTCCTCAAGTCCAACCACAATGCAGCACCACCACCATGTTCACCTCTAACTCATGTCCTCAAGTTTTTTGAACACTTCCAGGGATGGTAACTCCCCCACTGCCCAGGGCAGCCTGTGCCAAGGCTAAACAACTCCTTCTGTGAGGAAATCTTTCCCAATGTCCAATCTAAAACTTCCCCTGGCACAACTTGAGGCCATTTCCTCCCATCCTGTCACTTGTTACCTGGAACAAGAGACTGACCCCCACCTCACTACAACCTAAGTTTGAAGCAACAAGTGTTGCTCTCAAAAAGAAACCCCAGTGAAACCTCCATGGGGTCACTCCAACCCTGACTGATCCACGTGTCCCTGGAACGTTCTCCAGCCTTTGTCCCTCCTGTCCCTGTTCACAAAGCTGATATGGCCTTTCTGGAAGAGGCCCAAGTGCAGCTTGGATTTGCAGACAGGTTACAAAACTTGCCTCTGACTGACACCACAAGGTCTCAGAGCACTGTGGGATCAGGTACCAGGGCCGAAATGGTGCTGAATTAGCCACGAATTCAGAAGAAAATGGGTTCATGTTAAAGCAAAGCCTGGAACTGTGCCCTCCTTCATTTGTCATCTGCTCTCACTGGTTCTTTTTTCTGGGCTTCAGATCTAAAAGGACTCAAGGCTTTATTTGCCTCCAGACCTTTCTTTTTTCTCCAAGTGACCTTGTGCTTCAGCTGCAGAGGATTTCCCAGACACAGGCCCAACCCATCCACTGGAGAGCACAGAAGGGTTTATATTTCCACATGGATGCATTGCCATTTCATTTCTTCAACCAACATCATCCTTTCCATATGCACACTCCCTCCCTTCCACCCAGATGTCTCAGGCAGACCCTGAGGCTCCAATCAGACTCCCAAAGATGGAGCTCTTGGCTTTTCCCAAGAAATCCTGGTACATTCTTGGAAATTAGGACTGCAGAGTAAAAAGGACTTTTTTTATTCCATGGAAAGTTGTCATTTTGCCTCTGGTTTCCTAAAGGAAAAGTGGAAGGAAAGGTACTTAATTCTGAAGTTGTCAGAGTGGACAGGAGATCAAGAGCTTCCACCAGCTCTGCTGTAGGAGGAAAGATGCATTGGGATAGAAGGGATGGCTTCCCTCAGGTCTGAGGGGTTCTGCTGTCCAAATGCTGTCCAAATGACAGAGAATTTTCTTGCTTCTTCCTTTGAGAATAACAGACTTTCCTGGCTCTCACCTTGGGAAGTCTTTTCCCAGTATCCTATGGAAACAAGTTCTATGCATTCTGTGTCTGTCTGTCTCCACCCATGTCTCCAACTCCCAAATAAGCTTTGAACCATTGGCTCCATGCACTGGTTGAGGAATAGAGGTCTCAGAGAGGATTATGGTTCCTAGAAAAGGGAAGGGAAAGATTCTCCCCATGAAGGGGAGAGCACACATGGAGTGCACTGAGTGTTTGGATACCAGGGAACCAAAGTCACTGAGGACTTTCCAAACACCCAGCTCTTGCTTTCCCAGGCCCTGCAGTTCACTGCCCAGACCCAGGCTCTCCAGAAAACAAGCTGCCTTGCTCTTAATGATGCCACTGACTCTTTCCCCACCACCTCTGGCATGTCCAGCTCACATTTCCATTTGTTAATCCTGTCCCGCAATAGTTACACGAGGCAGTTCTGCTCTCACAAAAGTGTTGTGGGCTTTGTTTCAAGGAAACAGGAGTGATCAGACAGGAGATTCTGGGTCCAGTCAGGGGTTGGTCTTCAGGTTTGATCTGCTCATCCACAGGAGATAGTTTTGTACCAAAGGACAACTTCGTCCATTCTCAGAATATCCTGTCTGTGGCTCTGCAGGTACAGTAAGTGCACTGAATGTTACTGGTGGGGGGTTTGCTCATGGTTTAATATCACAGCACATGGAGCATTTGGAACAATACTTGTGGAAACATTAATAAATGCTGTTTGTTCTTAACCCTCTCCAGAAATTTTTACAAATCTTTGGGTGTTGTGCACCTAACAGACAGAGGGCCAAATGGCAAAGTTAATGGCAGTAGAATTTGATCAAATAATCTTGAGCTTGTAACATGTCTGTAGCCTTCCACGGAGCCAGCCAAGGTGCTCCACTCCTGTAAACCCTCCTGCAGGTCTTCTAGGAGCTGAGTCCACTGTGCCAGTGACACCCTGGCCTGTTGGAGTGGGGATATAGCAGGAGTCCCTCAGCAGCAGACGTGCGTTTCAGAGCAGATGATTTGGGGGATATTTCTCCTGTGGCCTCGCCGAGCTCGTTTGCAGAGTAACCGCAGGCTTGGCGTGTGCTGTGGCTCTGAGCTCCTGTCAGGGCTGAACGCTCGGCCTGCAGGGCAGGAGGCAGCTCAGGAGGGGCAGGGACCACACAAATCAACCAGACTGTCTGTCAGCGAGACCTTTCAACACGCTGGGGGTTCAGCACAGCCCGTCTGGGCCGTGCATGTGCACATGTGTGGGGAGGGGCTGCGGGGTGTGAGACCACCCGGGAGGGAGCAGCTCCTCAGAACTGGGGTGCTGGGGCAGCCTCTGAGCTCCTGAGGCTGGAGGGCTTTGACAGATGGGTGTTGCTGACTGGAAAAGCTGCAGATCTGAGCTGGCACACGGGGTGGGCCGGGGGAGCCTGGTGGGAGCTGGAGATGTGACTGCCTTGCTGGCTGGCAGGAGGGACTGAGCGGCCACCACACAGCTCCAGGCTGGGCTCAGCTGCCCTGGCACTGGGGAGGGACGGGCTCTCACTCAGCTCTCCCCAGCAGGTTGTTTTGAGACATAAATCAAAATAATTTTTAACATGTCATGATGGTCACCCAGACCTAGAGACAAACTCTCAGCCAGGGGAGGAGGCACAGTTGGAAAGGCATCGTATGAATTCCCCTGGTCGCTCTCTGCATTGCTTTGGCATTTTGCTGGTGATGGTGTCAGGAGCTGAGTAGGTGTTAGTCTCTCTCTCAGCCCAGGTGGTATCTGAGTCACTTTGGAAAGGTTGGGTACATGGATACTGTTGTCTGGCAGACATCTGAAAGCTCCTCTGCACTTGCAGCAAGTGTCTGTGAGAGAAAACATTGCTCTTCAGCATCTTCTATGGGCACTGGAAACGACTGAGTAAACCCTGTGTGGGTCCCAGCTGTGTTGTCCCTGCCCTGCACTTCGCACAGAGCATAACAAACACCCTGTTTCTCTTGGTTCCAGGGGAAGCTGGACGCTCTCTGGGTCTTGCTGCGGAAAGGATACGACCGTGTGTCTGTGATGCGCCCTCAGCCAGGAGACAAGGTACTGTGCTCAGAACATCTCCTCACAGCAGGGAGAAGGGACATTCCTCTGAGGGCAGACACTGAGCCCAGCTCAGAAACAACCAGTCAGGTCTGTCAGCATTGTGTGTGGCTGCAGCTCGTGTGGTTTGGCCGATTGGGTGCCAGGATGAGCTGTCCCAGGGCAGGGGCAGGAATACCCACCCAAGAGCCCAGCACAGTCCTGCCCCTGGGGCACAGAGCTGCTCTCAGTCAGCCACAGAAGGAATTCTAATGAATAGGAAGGGATATTCTGACATATTTTGATAGGACTCAAGGAAACAGCGTGAAGCTGTCAGGGCAGGGTCGGGTTGGATCTCAGGACAAGGTTCTTCCCCCAGAGGCTGTTTGGGCACTGCCCAGGCTCCCCAGGGCAGTGGGCACAGCACCAAGGCTGCCAGAGCTCCAGGAGGGTTTGGACAATGCTCTCAGTGACAGGGTGGGATTGCTGGGGTGTCTGTGCAGAGCCAGGAGTTGGATCAATGATCCTTGTGGGTCCCTTCCAACTCAGGATATTCTATGGTTCTGTGATTTTCCTTCGTTAAATTCATCTCATGGTGGAAAATGTCAGTTATATGAATGTCTTATGCAGTCGGTTCCACACCTCTGACACAAATCAACAACAGAGCTTGGAGTAGCTTCAGGAATAGATTTGTCTCAAAGTGTAACTGCAACATTGAGAAGACTTCAGGAAATTCAACTGCACAGGAAACAGTTTTTTGGTGGAGAATCACAGGTCTGTAACATTTGGCTCCCTGTGAGGAGTTTTGTTGAATACAGGCCCAGTGACCCATTGTGAATTAGAAGATTTAATATTTTATTCCTTCCAGTGGATGATTTGCTGAAATGCCTTCACTGATCCTGATTTCTGGGAGAAAAGCTGGTAACATACAGATTGCTGGTGCCTGGCAACTGTCCCTCAGAAATGAGGGTCTGAAGAAAGCCTGTCCTGTGAATAATTTTTTTGAGTTAACAAGCTAAAATTATTTGTATGGCAGGTGTCACTTTCATTTCTGCTGGGGAGAATCCACTGGAACAGTTCCCAGCAATTCCTCTTGATGCAGCTGCCAGGAGGTTCCGTCTCTTTTCGGTAACATGTCCCTTGGACATGTCCCTTGGACATGTCCCTGTGTCCTGTCACAACAAGCACCAGCAGGATCAGCCCATACAGGTGTTACATGATCCACCCTCAGAGTAAATTAAGCCCTTTATGAGTGAGTTGTGCTCTAAGGGATCTCTGACCTGGTACAATGTGATTTAGTGTGAAAGAGGAACTGGCTGAAAATGCACCCAGGCTTGGAGCTGCTGAAATACCTGTTTCTCTCCAGCTCACTCCTGTGTTTGGGCAGTTCCCTGTGTAGATGTGAAGCACTTCCAGACTCTCCTGTAAGGGTAGACTGCTCTTAGAACATTTGTTTTCCTTCCATGAGCCTGAGTGTTTGGCTGCTTTGAACAGCCACGTGTTACAGATCACTTGCAGATTGAAGGGAGCACTTTGTGTTTGTCCCTCTGCAGCAGTGACATAACTCCAGGTGATGTCACCCCCCCCAGCACCGGCAAAACCAGGATGAGACCTCACTGTGAGACTCTGCAGTGACTTGCATTAGTTTACACAGCTGAAATGGCAGAATTAGGTCGGGTTTTCCACTTTCTTATTCAGCAAAAATGTGGGGGTTTTGTTTCCCTATTTCAGATTCAGACTAAGGAGAAGCATCCAGCTTTCAAGCACTGGGTTCAGCTGTGCCATTTCTGACTCATCTCCCATCTTTCTATAGACATTCCCATCATTTGAATGCTGTTTTAGTCTGTCCTGCCTCACTTTCTTCTTTGTAGCTGTAGAAAGTGATTTTACTGGGCATCGGGAAGGTTGGCTTTGTAATATTTAGAGGCTTCAGCGCCAGGGACCAGGAATGGATGAGGCAATATTGCTGTAAACTGAACTGCCAGAAACTCAACTGTGCTTTGGGAGCCAAATTAGTCAAAAAGAAAAGCAAAAGGCTGCAAAAATAGTTGCAAAATCTGCACCTCATGGAATAAGGACACTCTCAGCCCTACTGGATCCCTGCCAAACCCCTTCTGTTCTCCTCTGTGCTACTGTTCTTCTAAGAGAAATTTAAATGCGTGTCCAATCTTAGGATACAAAGGCTGCAGGATTCAGGCTGCTTCAAGGCTCATGGCTTCTCCCAGGTCAGCAAACATCAAATATTATCTCATAAAACACATCAGTGCTCTGGTGTGACTGGAAATCCAGGGGGAAGGTCAGTGCTGAATTGATGGGAATGGCAGCATGGAAACATCTGCCAGTGCTGACTGCAGCTGCCAGTGCCCTCAGAGCAGAGTCCTGGGGCAGGGAGAGCAGCCTGCCTTCCTAGCAAGGAAAAAATACCAAGGAAAGGAGCAATTCCGCAGCAAATCCTTTTTGAAATGAAACCTGTGTCTGTAGGGCAGTGCTGCAAAAGAAAAGGAGCAAATGTTGCACTGCAATGATGGGAAATTTCTCTCCATGCAGACAGCTGTGTGGCCAGAATTCCCTGCCCGGGAAGTCAGGGCTGGGCTGGATGGGCTTGGATCCAATCCCTGCCGTCAGTTGGGAGACTTTCACCAGAATCCCAGTGAGAGGGTCTCTGGATTGCATATAAACACAACCCTTCCTCTGCAGTAGGTGTCTGATAATATAAGTTTAGTATCATCTCCACCATTCCCTTCATCCAACCCAGGACATAGTTCTTGGAATCTCTCTGGCTTGGAACAGCACTCACAGCCACAGCTTTGCTCTCCAAAGTCAGGACCCCTTTTGTGATGGTTCTAGCCTAGGCACTGGGTTCCTTGGCAGGAACATTTATTTATAGGCCTGGCCAGGTCCCAGGGATGCAGCCAGTGGTGGGTGTGTGATGGTGACAGGTACTGGGGAGGTGTGTTCTGACACAGGCTCATAGAGCTGGCACGTCACCTCCCCAGCCTGACCTGCACTGGGGCCAACAGGATGGATCCAACAGGTTCAGTTGCTCCTGGTGCAGGAGGTGCTGAGGGACAGCATGTGGAGGACAGTCACACCCAGGCAGCCCTGCACATGCACACACAGACTCCTGGATGCTCTCCCATCCCTCTGCTCCTGGTGCAGGGTTTGCCAGGGGTAGAGCTGTCAAAGTCATTTGGGGAGTGGTGAGCCCAGATATAAATTCCTGTGTCCTGTCCATGTGATTCTATACAGCTGTGTTGGATCAGGGGCACAACAAGGACAGACTTGGTCCTCACCAGGCTACCAAACCTTCAGCAGTGTCTGTGGGCTCTCAGAGGTGCCCATTGGCAGGTTTGGGTTTGATCCTGTTCTGCTGGGAAGCACAGCTAAAGGAATGCTCTCCCCAGCCTGGCAGCAAAGGGGCCATGGAAGTTGCTTCTGACCAGTCCAAGTCAGTGGTGTGTTTGAAAGTGGAGGCACAGATGGTTTGAACTCCAGCCCAGGTGCCCAGTGCAGACCCAGCCCTGCTGCTCTCAGAGGACAGAACCCTTGGAGGTCTAGGACAGGGCAATTCCAGTTTTCCAGCTTTTTCTGCCTGCTCTCCTCTCTCAGGGTGCTGCAGAGCCCAGGTCACCCATCACTGCCATCCCAGCTCCTCTCAGCAATGCTGGGCTCTGGTTTGTCTCCCAGGGCAGTTCCAAACCAGCCCCATTTCAGTCCGACCGTGCGGCCGCTCCAGGGAATTCCCAACACAAACTGAACAAACTCCTCAGACTCAGCTGAAACCACAGCCCACACTGCCAGCTCTGCACAAGCTGCCAGCCATGGACATGCCCTGGGAATGAGAGAGCCAGGGATTAGCAAAGCATCCCCCAGGAACCAGCAGCCTCAAATGGAGCCACCGATCAAACACCCACAGCATGGAGCATTCTCAGTCTGGATGAACATCCAAACCCTTGCAGGCAAACTTTATGGCTAGTGAAGAGGAGCTGGAAATTTGCAGACAGGAGCCTTTGACCATATGATATTCCTAAAAACTACAAGGAGGAGCTGTTTTGATAGCAGTTTGTACCTCCTTCCTTCTCTTCTCTTTCCTGAACAAAGGGAAGCAGATTTCAGACTTAGTGTTGTTGAATGGGCTCCTTAATTCACCCACTGATCAAGATAAAAAAGTGAAGCCAGATGAAAAATAACTGAAAGGCATCTGTTTGCTTTGGAGCCTGGAAAGGGGCTGGACTGAATCCCAGGGTTACATCATTTTCATATATAAGCAATCCCTCGCTATAATCGGTGACTGCATCCCCTGCCAGCACACGAGCTGAGCTGCTCAGAAGATTCTTTGCATAGAATGAAACACGGATTCCACTTCAAACCCCACACTGAGTAATTGTTGCTGTTTATCTGCTGCAGCCCACACAGCTTCCAGGGATCTGTGATTTGTCAGGAAAGATGTCCCCTGCCCTGAGATTCACATCAGTCTGTAACCAGACAGTGCTGCAGGGGCAGGCACTGAACATTTGCAGTTTATATCCATTGCAGGGGATAATGTGGGGACTGGAGGTTCCAGTCCTCCTCCTCCTCCCTGTGACCTCAGACAGTCCCTTGTCTTTGTCCCTTGGCTGCTCAGGCCCTGAACCTGTGACTGAAGGTGGAGACCCTGTGGGGCCGTTTCCTCCTTTTACAGGCACAGCAATGGGATCACTGAGCAGGGAGGGCTGGGGCAGGGCTGGATGGTGCTGGAGACAGAGCTGAGACCTCTCCAAGAGGTGCCAGAAGGGAAGGCATCCCTGTCCAGAGCATGGCACCAGCCTGAGCCACAGCTCCTGGGAAGCTCCAGCAGCTGGAGAGCCCATGGTCACACTGCAGCCCCTGCAGGGGCAGACGGGGAGCAAACATTGGTCTGCTCTGCAGAGGCTTTTAACAAGGCACCTCTTATCCCAGAGCAAAAGGAAAAGAGAGGGATGCTCAGGACCCATTTTGAAGTGCACCCAGAAAGGCTGAGATGCACAAAAAGGTGGTGAAAT